GTTAAATCCAAAGCGGTCTTTTTTAAGGAAATTAAAACTAAAGTCTCTAAATGCCACCTTGCGACAAAAGGTATCTATCCAATCAAAAGAGATCTTTTCTAATAAAATGAAACATAAACATTCCTAATGCCGTCTAGCGACAAATATAGTTGCCTATATAACCCAAATCTATTATTTTGGAATAATAATGTTTCCTCTCTGCTCAGAGGCAGAAAGTTCGACCGTCAAGCCGAGAAGCTCGGCTCGATTCGGTATCTAGCCACCCCCACCCCCACGACGGTTGCATGTGGCACAAGGCTGAGTTTTTACGTGGGTTTCCCGAGCCCGTAAGCTCGGCCAAAAAATTCCCGTATAACCCGTATAAACGAGATGGGGTTGGTCATTTACCCCGAACGAGATTCTGCCCTTCGGCGGAACCTCGTCCGGGTTCCTTTCTGCTCAGAGGCAGAAAGATCGGCCGTCAAGCCGAGAAGCTCGGCTCGATTCGGTATCTAGCCACCCCCACGAGGGTTGCATGTGGCACAAGGCCGAGTTTTTACGTGGGTTTCCCGAGCCCGTAGGCTCGGCCAAAAATGCCCGTATAACCCGTATAAACGAGATCGGGTTGGTCATTTCTCCCCGAACGAGATTCTGCCCTTCGGCGGAGCCTCGTCCGGGTTCCTTTCTGCTCAGAGGCAGAGAATTCGACCGTCAAGTCGAGAAGCTCGGCTTGATTCGGTATCTACCCACCCCCCCGACGGTTGCATGTGGCACAAGGTTTGATTCGGTATCTAGCCACCCCCCACGAGGGTTGCATGTGGCACAAGGCCGAGTTTTATCGTGGGATTCCCGAGCCCGTAGGCTCGGCCAAAAAAAGCCCGTATAACTCGTAAAAACGAGATAGGGTAGGTCATTTTCCCCGAACGAGATTCTGCCCTTCGGCGGAACCTCGTCCGGGTTCCTTTCTGCTCAAAAGCAGAGAGTTCGACCGTCAAGTCGAGAAGCTCGGCTTGATTCGGTATCTAGCCACCCACCCCCCACGACGGTTGCATGTGGCACAAGGCTTGATTCAGTATCTAGCCACCCCCCCCACGAGGGTTGCATGCGACACAAGGTCATTTTTATCGTGGGTTTCCTGAGCCCGTAGGCTCAGGTTAAAATATGCCCGTCAACTCGTAAAAACGAGATAGGGTAGGTCATTTCCCCGAACGAGATTCTGCCTTCGGCGGGACCTCGTCCGGGTTCCTTTCGCTCAAAAGCAGAGAGTTCGACCTCGTCGAGAAGCTCCGGCTTGATTCGGTATCGACGGTTGCATGTGGGTACAAGGCTTGATTCATTAGCCACCCCCCACCATGCGAACAAGGTCATTTTTATCGTGGGTTTCCTGAGCCCGTAGGCTCAGCCAAAAATATGCCCGTATGACTCGTAAAACGAGATCGGGGGGTCATTCACCCCGAACGAGACCTTCGGCGGAACCTCGTCCGGGTTCCTTTCTGCTCAAAAGCAGAGAGTTCGATCGTCAAGTCGAGAAGCTCGGCTTGATTCGGTATCTAGCCACCCACCCCCCACGACGGTTGCATGGCACAAGGCTTGATTCAGTATCTAGCCACCCCCCACGAGGGTTGCATGCGACACAAGGTCATTTTTATCGTGGGTTTCCCTGAGCCCGTAGGCTCAGCCAAAAAATATGCCCGTATGACTCGTAAAACGAGATCAGGGTAGGTCATTCACCCCGAACGAGATTCTGCCCTTCGGCGGAACCTCGTCCGGGTTCCTTTCTGCTCAAAAGCAGAGAGTTCGACCGTCAAGTCGAGAAGCTCGGCTTGATTCGGTATCTAGCCACCCACCCCCCACGACGGTTGCATGTGGCACAAGGCTTGATTCAGTATCTAGCCACCCCCCCACGAGGGTTGCATGCGACACAAGGTCATTTTTATCGTGGGTTTCCTGAGCCCGTAGGCTCAGCCAAAAATATGCCCGTATGACTCGTAAAAACGAGATCAGGGTAGGTCATTCACCCCGAACGAGATTCTGCCCTTCGGCGGAACCTCGTCCGGGTTCCTTTCTGCTCAAAAGCAGAGAGTTCGACCGTCAAGTCGAGAAGCTCGGCTTGATTCGGTATCTAGCCACCCACCCCCCACGACGGTTGCATGTGGCACAAGGCTTGATTCAGTATCTAGCCACCCCCCCACGAGGGTTGCATGCGACACAAGGTCATTTTTATCGTGGGTTTCCTGAGCCCGTAGGCTCAGCCAAAAATATGCCCCGTATGACTCGTAAAACGAGATCAGGGTAGGTCATTCACCCCGAACGAGATTCTGCCCTTCGGCGGAACCTCGTCCGGGTTCCTTTCTGCTCAAAAGCAGAGAGTTCGACCGTCAAGTCGAGAAGCTCGGCTTGATTCGGTATCTAGCCACCCACCCCACGACGGTTGCATGTGGCACAAGGTTTGATTCAGTATCTAGCCACCCCCCACGAGGGGTTGCATGCGACACAAGGTCATTTTTATCGTGGGTTTCCTGAGCCCGTAGGCTCAGCCAAAAAAAATATGCCCGTATGACTCGTAAAAACGAGATCAGGGTAGGTCATTCACCCCGAACGAGATTCTGCCCTTCGGCGGAACCTCGTCCGGGTTCCTTTCTGCTCAAAAGCAGAGAGTTCGACCGTCAAGTCGAAAAGATCGGCTTGATTCGGTATCTAGCCACCCACCCCCACGACGGTTGCATGTGGCACAAGGCTTGATTCAGTATCTAGCCACCCCCCACGAGGGTTGCATGCGACACAAGGTCATTTTTATCGTGGGGGTTTGACTCTGAGCAGGGTAGGCTCAGCCAAAATTATGCCTTCGGCGGAACCTCGTCCGGGACTCGTAAAAACGAGATCGAGGGTAGGTCATTCACCCGAACGAGATTCTGCCCTTCGGCGGAACCTCGTCCGTAGGTTCAGCCAAAAATATGCCCGTATTCGTGCTCAAGAACGAGATTCTGTTCGGCGGAACCGTCAGTTCGAGTCGAAAAGATCGGCTTGATTCGGTATTCAGCCACCCACCCCCCACGACGGTTGCATGTGGCACAAGGCTTGATTCAGTATCTAGCCACCCCCACGAGGGTTGCATGCGACACAAGGTCATTTTTATCGTGGGTTTCCTGAGCCCGTAGGCTCAGCCAAAAAATCCGTATGACTCGTAAAAACGAGATCAGGGTAGGTCATTCACCCCGAACGAGATTCTGCCCTTCGGCGGAACCTCGTCCGGGTTCCTTTCTGCTCAAAAGCAGAGAGTTCGACCGTCAAGTCGAAAAGATCGGCTTGATTCGGTATCTAGCCACCCACCCCCCACGACGGTTGCATGTGGCACAAGGCTTGATTCAGTATCTAGCCACCCCCCCACGAGGGTTGCATGCGACACAAGGTCATTTTTATCGTGGGTTTCCTGAGCCCGTAGGCTCAGCCAAAAATATGCCCGTATGACTCGTAAAAACGAGATAGGGTAGGTCATTCACCCCGAACGAGATTCTGCCCTTCGGCGGAACCTCGTCCGGGTTCCTTTCTGCTCAAGAGCAGAGAGTTAGACCGTCAAGTCGAAAAGATCGGCTTGATTCGGTATCTAGCCACCCACCCCCCACGACGGTTGCATGTGGCACAAGGCTTGATTCGATCCTCTCTCTTGAGAGGCGTTGTATACATAGTGTTAGGAAGAGTTCATTCTGTAGTTATAGGGAAGAACCCATGACAAACGCTCTTAATACCACCTTACGAAAAAGAAAAAAAAACGGAACGTATCCAATCAAAACCTACTATTTTAATGAAATTGAGCAGAGAAATGTCTACTGAACTCTTATGTAATATCTGTTCTCCTATATGGCAGTAAATGCTGGACGAAATATCTCAAAGATGAAGAAAAGATAACAGTAGTTCCGTAGAAAGATGCTGAGGATACCATGGAGCAAAAATGTGAGCAACGACGAAAGAGAAAACGGAAACAAAAAGGAAATTGAGACTTAACATCAGGAAGAAACCGTTGAAATTTTTAGGTCACATAACGAGGAAAGTGGGCTTAGTAAATCTGATACTCACAGTACACATTGAAGGCAAGAGGGACAGAGGAAAATAACCCATAACATACTTAGTAAGCTTGACTAAATGGATAGCCGAACAGGGTTTAAAAGAAATAAAAAGACATTTATTTAAGAGCTACAAAGGATAGGAAATTGTAGAGAGTCATGATCGCCAACATCCTGAAGTGACACAACACTTAGAAGAAGGACACCATCTTATAACAAAAATACAATCTATATAAGCAAAAGCGATCTCCTTTTTTAATGAAATTTAAAATCTAACGCTCCTGGTGTTATCTTTTGACACAAATAGAACCTTGTGAGAACTCAGCATCGAGTTAACAATGGAACTCACTAGAATTCTCATCTTATTTTCCTCAGAAACATATCAATAACAGCGATTGCTTTATAAATATAATCGTAAAATACAGCTCTCTAAGGTCTGATAAGTTAACTATTGTTGTTGAATTATTAGATGTATCACATCTTAATTCACGTCTCGTGACAGTCTGGACTTGAACGTTGTTGTTAATTTAGTCGTGGGATCATACATGGTAAATTATTTCACAGATGTAGATTTTCATATGCGAGACAGCTAAAATCTGGCAAAGTTGTCACTAAACGAGAACAATAGAAAATTGTCCTGTTGTCTCTCACAAACAAACTAAAAAAAATAAATAACAACCAAGTGTGGGAAAACAATTTTAAATATGTCACTAGTACACAAGTAGATGTTGTAAATATCAGCGTTGCCAATGACATTGTTTGTTTTATGACTAAAATTACGGTATCAGATATCATTGACTTGGTCACTGCCCAACGACAATAATACTAAACCATAATAGTTTAGTTTCTAACCATAATAGTACTTCTATCTATCTAGCTAGCTAGCTATCGACTTGACCTATGAGAACTGTTCCTATCTATTTCAGTTTATACCCATCTAAGTATCTGTTTATATATCAG